TGCTTGTATTTTTCTTGTTTGTAACATTTATACTTTTTAAAATATTCAGCTTTTTTCATCAAATTTTGCCCTATTCAACTGAATGGGCAAAATCTTTCAGTTACAAATACTGTTCTGTTTTCTAAATGTTCAGTTAGGTGAGATTGCATCTCATCCTTCAGCTATTTCAACAAAGAATTTCAGCCATTTCTTCTCAACCTTCAACTATTTCAACAAAGAACTTCAGCCATTTCTTCTCATCATTCAGCTGTTTCAGCAATTGATTTTAGGCATTTTCAGGGCGATCCTTCAGCATATCAACATCCACATGCATTTTCAACAGGAAATGCATTTCTCTAGTTTATTTATGTGTTTTTGATCTAATGAAGAACTTCAAACAGAATGGATAATCAGCATTTCCAGAATGTAACTAAATGTATGGATTATTTATGATCTTAGTCATTCTTTTGTCATGTTCCTGCTTGACATGGAATCAGAACAACATTCATTTATCCTCCTCTTATCGCTTATGTACTCACACTGGCAACTTGCTATTGTACATGAGTCATGCTGTTGATTTCATTTATTTAAAGACTGCCCCTTTTTGTTCACGATACAGTTCTGCTTACAGCTGCCAACACATGTTGTTTTATTTGAATATATGGCGATGGTCTCACTTTACAGCCTATCACATAAGTGTCTTCTGGGTAATGGGCTCTAGTCGCCTCCCTCCACTTCCTGCATTGCCTACCACCTCTCTCCCTCACCTCTCCAGCAGTGACGTGCGGTGAGGTTGACAGCTGGTGAGGCACTAACTCTTTTACAGTCAGAGTTACAAATACAAATTACTGTATCTGTTAACAGACAATGCATTATGCTTTATATCTTATATCAGCATTCTTCACACAAACGTGACCCATATTTAATTTGAGGTTAAAATTTATTCCAATTGAACTTATTTCTAACTAGAAATAATAAAAGTTTATGGTCTTAACTTTACTTGTACACAAAATCCATTTGTCAGCTGGTATGTATTACAAACCCTTTTACCGTTCGAATCCAATATTAAAACAAATGTTTTCAATAAAGAAGATCCTTCTGGACAAAAATGTCCAGACTGTCAAAAATGTTTTGATTGAAAGTCCAGATTTGCGAATTTTCTCAGTTTGTAAATGTAATCTTCCATTTTGATAAGGCGGATTGTAAAGGAAATATAAACAAGCACGAAGAAGATTGTAGGTAGCGCAAGAATCTGTGGGCTCACTAGCGCCCTCTGCAGAGGACCTCTATTTGCGACATATAGACGGACAGCGACACACTATTTGCATTGCATACAGTTTGTGAGGATTACACGATCCACCGAGAGGCACAGCAAAGTGCTGCCTCATCGCGCATCTCCTCCATGTATTTGAACCAGACATACAGGAATTCTGCTATTCTTTATTGAAAAAAATTCTTTCAACATCAGATTTGAACGGCAAAGGGGCCTACAACACACACCAGCCGACAATTATTAACATTTATTATATTTTACGGTTAACTTTTTTTTCTTTTCAAGATTGACAGGGGAGGCTCTGCTTAAACATCAGCTGTTCTGGACTATGTGCAGTTCTGTACTGATGCTGTCCTACCTACAAAGTCCATCCGGGGTTTT